GCGTGATCTCGGCTCACTGCAACCTCCCCCTCCTGGGTTCAAGTGATTCTCCTGCCTCAGCCTCCCGAGTAGCTGGGATTACAAGCACCCGCCACCATGCCCAGTTAATTTTTGTATTTTTAGTAGAGATGGGGTTTCGCCTTGTTGGCCAGGCTGATCTCAAACTCCTGACCTCAGGTGATCCACCTGCCGCAGCCTCCCAAAGTGCTGAGATTACAGGTGTGAGCCCCTGTGCCTGGCCAAATAACATTTTAAAAATAATTTTTTAATGAATCCTCATATCCATCATTCAGTTAAAGAACTAGACTATCAGTACTTTAGAAGCCCCTAAACAATCACTTCCCCTTTTCTCCTCCACAGAGATAATTATTATTTCAGAACTTTATAATTGGTTCTTTACTTTTATCAATACTTTTATCACAAATGTGTATATCTCTAAATAATATATTATTTCATTTTGCCTACTCTTTAACTTTTATTTAAATTTAATCTATATATATTCTTTGTGTTGACTTGTTTGAGGTTCCTCCATGTTATTACATGTAACATTTATTTTCACTGCTATTTAGGATTCCATTATGTGACTATTACACAACTTATATAACCCTAAACACTTTATGATCCTTGATCCTATTTTATCCTCACAATGTCACTGTGAGGCAGGATGAAGAAACTGAGGCCTAGTTAGATGAAGTAACTTGCCCAAGGTCAGACAGAAATCAAGTGTAAGGGCTAGGCTTTGAACGCAGGTTTGTCTGATTTCAGGGCCCATGTTATTTCTACTACACCACACTGCCTCACCAAGATCCCTCCAAGCGCTAATGGAAGTGTAAGTCAATCTAACATTTGTTAAATACTATGTACTAGGTGCTTAACAATATATTCTAATATGCTCACAACAATTCTCTGAGGTAAGTATTATTGGCCTCCTGTGCTTCTGTGAGCACAAGTAGATTGACATTAAAATGGGTAGAACTGAGACAATTGAACCTACTTTAATGTTTGACATAGTGGAATTTAGTGTCTCCCCAGATTTGACTGAATTATTACCTGGAAAGCTTCCTAAAAACATGATTCCTAGGCTCTATTCCCGTCTTTTGATCAAAAGTCTTCACTGGGGCATAGAAATCTTTTTGTTCTTGTTGTTGCTTTTTTGTTTGTTTGTTTTGAGACGGAGTCTTGATCTGTTGCCAGGCTGGAGTGCCATGGCGCAATCTCGGCTTACCGCAACCTCCATCTCCTGGGTTCAAGCGATCCTCCTGCCCTAGCCTCCTGAGTAGCTGGAATTACAGACACACGCCACCACACCCAGCTAATTTTTGTATTTTTAGTAGAGATGGAGTTTCACCATGTTGGCCAGGATAGTCTCAATCTCTTGACCTCGTGATCCACCCGCCTCGGCCTCTCAAAGGGAAATCATATTTTAATCAAACATCCTAGATAAATATTATATTATATAAATATAATAAATATTAATTTCTTATATTCAAGGTGACTTCATGCCATCTATATGTTAATGACTTCCAAATCTCTCTCTCCAGAAATGGCCTTTCTCCAAAATTCATAATTTCTCTATCCAACTGCTTCCTGTCTATCTTCATGTGGATTTCAAATAGACCTTGCAAACTTCACATGGCTCAAAAGAACTCTTTTTTTTAAGCATAAATCAGATATTGTTATCTTCTTGCTTCAAACTCTCCAATATCTTTTCCCTTTACTTGAAGTAAAAGGCAGACCATTTCTATTGCTTGCAAAACCCATGTGTATTTGTTCCTGCTGCATTTCTTACAGTTCTTGCCCTATTTCCTACAGTTCTCCCCTCTATCAGCTGCACTGTTCTTCTCTCTGTTGCTGTTATTTCTGTGTGGAATACCTAAACCTGATTTTTAAATGGTTGATTCCTTCTTGTATTTTTACGATTTAGCTGATGTCATCTTCTCAATTGGTCTTTCCTAGCCATTCAGTCTTATGTAGCTATCCAGTCACATTTGTCACATCACCCTGTGTTGATTCTCTGTGTAGGGTATGTCACTGTTCCTTATATGTGTAATTATTTGTTTTGTTTCTTTTCCTACTAGAATGTACCCAGAGCTTTGTCTTATCACTGTCATTTATTGAATGAAACACTGATCTAATCTGTTTGAAAGTTTGTCCAGAGTAGTACCAGGGAGTGGGCTAAATAACAAACTCTTAATCTCCCCATGACTCATATTGTTGTTATTTAACATTGAATAAATTGCTAAATCTTAGACTTTTTTTTTTTTAAAGTGTAAAATCATTCCTATTGACATCTCAGAAAGCAGGCTGTAATTGGTAATAAACACCATCCGTGATTTGGCATACATTGTGTCTTAGTTTGTCACAAGGGAGAATGTTGTTAACCCTAAACCATGATGTCAGAAGATTAAATAGACTTCAGGTTTACTGTTGTCCTTGTTGATTTTATTTATTTATTCTTTTGTTGTGCAGGTGACCATCCACGGCAAGATAGCATGGATTTCAGTAATGAATGGGGGGATCCCTCAAGCTGTCGATGTGGAGACAGATTGAAGCCATTAGAGCGGAGAGCTGCACGCCAGCACCAGCGATGTTTAGCACATTCTTTGGTTGGGACTCCCAATTATATTGCACCTGAAGTATTGCTACGAACAGGTAAAGCACTTCTTTCATATAAAATCTCAATAGGCCTTTAGGCCAGCCAAAACAACACTAGAATATGCCTTATTTTTCAGGCTTATAATAAAAGTATTAATTTTACAGTATAAATTGGTGATTTAATGTTAATTTTTATTGTATTCTGAGCATTTTTAAAGTGCTTCTAAATAACTAACTTTGGTACCTTATTTTAGGATACACACAGTTGTGTGATTGGTGGAGTGTTGGTGTTATTCTTTTTGAAATGTTGGTGGGACAACCTCCTTTCTTGGCACAAACACCATTAGAAACACAAATGAAGGTAAGGTATGGCATCTATATCAAAAGAATTCTCACAAAGTTGCTACGTCATTGACCTTTATTTATTAGTACTTAGAGCATTTTAGTCTGGAGTTAAAGAATGAGCTTGGGCCGGGTGCAGTGGCTCATACCCATAATGCCAGTGCTTTGGGAGGTTGAGGCAGGAGGATTGCTTGCACCTAGGAGTTCAAGATCAGCCTGACAATGATGTGAGACCCCATCTCTACAAAAAAAAAATGTTTAATTTAAAAAAGGAAAAGAATGAACTTGTAAGGGTATATGAACTCACTAAAATTGCATGTGTGAACTCCAGTCTCCATGATGCCATATCCCCATAATTTTGTATCCCCCCTCACTCATACACCATACTCATATATCATTCTCAAAAAGGTCTTTAGGCCAGGCACGGTGACTCATGCCTGTAATCCTACCACTTTGGGAGGTGTACGCGGGTGGATCACCTGAGGTCAGGAGTTTGGGATCAGCCTGGCCAACATGGCAAAACCCCGTCTCTACTAAAAATACAAAAATTAGCTGGGTGTGGTGGCGGACACCTGTAATCCCAGCTACTTGGGAGGCTGAGGCAGGAGAATCCTTTGAATTCCGAAGGCAGAGGTTGCAGTGAGCCAAGATCTGACCATTGCACTCCACCCTGGGTGAAAGAGCGAAACTCCTTCTCAAACAAAACAAAACAAAACAGGCCTTTAGTCCATTTTGAAGATTTGTTCACTGCTTGTCACCTACTGCCTCCTGGCTTTGTCTCCTTCTATGCAAACTACAAACAAATGTTTATATCCCCATTTGAAAATACCTCTGGCACTTAAATGAGAAGCTACCCACAATTTTGACCATACACTGTCTGATTTAATACCCTTTGGTGATTCCTTTGTCCATGGGTTAAAGTTGGAATTTGCCCTCCGTTCATACCATTCCCTCTGTCTGGAATGTCCTACTTCCATCTCTCTCTTCTATAACCCTTCCTCCTTTCTGAAGTCTAATTAACTCCTGGTCGTTCTCTCTCTCTCTCTCTCTTTTTTTTTTTTTATACAGAGTCTTGCTCTATCATCAGGCTAGAGTGCAGTGGCGTGATCTCAGCTCACTGCAACTTCTGCCTCCTGGGTTCAAGTGAGTCTCGTGCCTCAGCTTCCCGAGTAGCTGGGATTACAGGCACGCGCCATCACACCCAGCTAGTTTTTGTATTTTTAGTAGAGAGGGGTTTCACCATGTTGGCCAGGATGGTCTCAATCTCCTGAACTCATGATCCACCCGCCTCGGCCTCCCAATGAGCCGCTGCACTCCGCCTCCTGATCATTCTTAATTATTCTTTGAGGGCCAGACATGATGGCTCATGTCTGTAATCCCAGCACTTTATTTTGAGATAGGATCAAAACATTTCACCAAGGGTAGAATGCAGTGGCATGATGTTGTCTCATGCAACCTCTGTCCTGGCTCAAGCAACCTATCTTAGCCTCCTGGTAGATGGGACCACAGGTGCTTTTTTTTTATTTTTTGTATTTTTTTTTTTTGTGTAGATATAGGGTTTTGCCATGTTGCCGAGGCTGGTCTCAAACTCCTGGGCTCAAGTAATCCACCCACCTCAGCCTCCCAAAGTGCTGGAATGGGTGCAGTGGCTCACACCTGTAATCCCAGCACTTTGCAAGGTCGCAGCAGACAGATCACCAACAAATGGTATTGAGAAAACTGGTCAGCCATATACAAAAAAAATGAACATCAGGTCAGGTGCAGTGGCTCACGCCTATAATCCTAGCACTTTGGGAGGCCAAGGCGGATGGATAACCTGAGGTTAGGGGTTTGAGACCAGCCTAGTCAACGTGGTGAAACCCCGTCTCTACTAAAACTACAAAAATTAGCCAAGTGTGGTTGGTGCATGCCTGTAATCCTGAGTCCTTGGGAGCCTGAGGCAGGAGAATCACTGGAACCCAGGAGGCAGAGCTTGCATTGAGCCAAGATCGTGCCACTGCACTCCAGCCTGGGACGACAGAGCAAGACTCTGTGTCAAAAAAAAAAAAAAAACAAAAAACTGAGCCTCACACCTTTACAAAGATTAACTCAAATTGAGTCACATATATATAGATAAAACTTAAAGGTATAATACTTTTAGAAGAAAACATAGGAGAAAATCTTTGTGGGCTTGGGTTAGGTAAAGAGTTCGTAGAAATGACCCCAGAATCATGACCCATAAAAGAAAAAAGTTCATCAAAACTAAGAACTTTCCCTCTACCACAGATAACAGTCAAGAGAAAAGACAAGCTACAGGCTGGGAGAAAATATTTACAAATCACATAGCTAAGAAAGGTTTTTTTAATCTACCATATATAAAGAACCCTCAAAACTCAACAGTAAGGCAAAAAGTAACCCAAGCCAGTGACCTGACATATTTCTTTAAATGTCTGGGTCAAAAAAAGAATGGATCTCTGTCTCTTTAAATCTGCCAGAGCAGGTCAAAGAAAGACAGGCATCTGTGCTGTTCCCTCAGGGAATCACTAACACCAACCAAGATGGACAGCCTCAAATATTTGGAGGGCAGAGTTCTTACTGCCCACCTTGGCACTAACCAGCTGCTCCAGGAAGGCAAGCTGTGGTTTTCCTGACTGCCACAGGACTGAGGAATGGTAGATGGTAGTGGGCTCACACACGCTGCTGTCTGAACCAAATTTTAGCAGCCTCTCCCTTCATGAAGCACTCTCCTGGCTGCTGTAAGGTTCCAAAGTTCCAAAATAGTATTCTGATAGTCTTTTTCCAGTTTAATGATTGATTTTAGGGATGGGTAGACCCCTGATGCTTCCTACTCTGCTGTTTTCTGTGCTATCTCTTTCTACTGTGGTTTTTTACTATTATCTCTTTGTATAGTTTTGTTTGTGATTGCTCTAGTGACTACAAAATATATATTGTTTCCTTTCTTTTTTTTTTTTTTTTTTGAGATGCAGTTTCACTCTGTTGCCTAGGCTGGAGCGTAGTGGTGCAACCTCATCTCACTGCAACCTCTGTCTCCCAGGTTCAAGTGATTCTCCTGCCTCAGCCTCCTGAGTAGCTGGGATTACAGGTGCCTTCCACCACACTTGGCTAATTTTTGTATTTTTAGTAGAGACAGGGTTTCACTATGTTGGCCAGGCTGGTCTCAAACTCCTGCCTCAAGCAATCCACCCACCTCAGCCTCCCAAAGTGTTGGGATTACAGGCGTGAGCCACTGCGCCCAGCCTAAGTTTTCACTATCTACCTAGAATTTATACTTTACCACTTCAAGTTCAATGTAGAACCATATGCTATATAGGTCCCTTTATTCACTATTATTTATATTGTAGTTATTTTATTTTTCTTCTTCTTTTTTTTTTTTTTTTTGAGACAAGGTCTTGTTCTGCTGCCCACGCTGGAGTGCAGGGTTGTGATTTCAGCTCACTGCAACCTCTGCCTCCTGGGTTCAAGATTCTCCTGTGTCATCCTCCCAAGTAGCCTGGATTACAGGCACATGCCACCACCCTTGGCTAATTTTATTATTATTTTGTAATCAAGACTAGTCACTATGTTGCCCAGGCTGGTCTTGAACTTCTGGGCTCAAGTAATCCTCCCACGTCGGCCTCCCAAAATGTTGGGATTACAAGCATGCGCCTACACCTGGCTTGTAGTTATTTTATACATTACATCTACATACGCTTAAAACCTCATCCAGCCAGCACGGTGGTTTACCCTGTAATCCTAGCACTTTGGGAGGCCAAGGCAGGTGGGTCATGAGGTCAGGAGATCGAGACCATCCTGACTAACACGGTGAAACCCCATCTCTACTAAAAATTAAAAAAATTAGCCGGGTGTGGTGGCGGGCGCCTGTAGTCCCAGCTACTCATGAGGCTGAGGCAGGAGAATGGCGTGAACCCGGGAGGTGGAGCTTGAAGTGAGCCGAGATGGCGCCACTGTACTCCAGCCTGGGTGACAGAGGGGGACTCCACCTCAATAAATACATACATACATACATACATACATACATACAACCTCATCCAGCCAGATGTGGTGGCTCACACCTGTAATCCCAGTGCTTTGGAAGGCCACAGCAGGAAGATCACTGGAACACAGGA